CTGAGAGTAACCCGCCTTACCTTGGAAGACTCTGGGACTTACGAGTGCAGGGCCAGCAACGATCCCAGGAGGAATGACTTGAGGCAAAATCCCTCCATTACGTGGATTCGAGCCCAGGCTACTATAAGCGTCCTGCAGAGTGAGTCCGGCCCCCAGTAGTGGCACTGTAGTGTCTAGAGGCAGTCTGGTGACCCCGCCCCCGTGTCCCCACCCTCTGCCACACCCTGTCCTGTCCTCCCGGCGCGCGGGCTGCTCCTCCTCCTCCTGGCCTGTAGTGCTGACCCTGTGTGCCACCCGTGTCTCTTCTCCGTAGGACAAAGCACTTGGGAAACCCTCGGGATGTGTGCTAGAGCTTCCGTGTGAAACCAGCCCGCTGTCGGATTTGTGTTTGTTCCCTCCTCCCTTTAGTTTTGTAGGAGGTTTCCAGCCTCCCTGGCTTCTCCACCAGTGCCTTTCTCTTTGATTTCCATGTTCTTTTCCTGACTCTAACCGTTTTACTTTGATTTCTTTTGTTCTCTTGGAATTTCTGGGAATGCCTCCTCACCTGCTTTTGGTTATATATCTGCTTCTGGATAAATCCTTCCCTTTCAGTTCCACATGACCTTTGGTGTTTGGATTTTTCCATGAAGTCGTGGTGTTTCTTTTCCTTCCTGGCCAGCAGCATGCTCCTAAGGAGTTCTCTGATGCAGCAGCACTGAGGAGGTGCAGCCATTCCTAATCCAGCCTGTGGGAGCAGGGGGAACATCCTGCCCAGTGCTGAGCCCAGCCTTGAGCTCGGTGACTCCATCCAGGGTGCAGCTCCTGGCAGCAGCAGAGCTCTGGGAGCAGAGGCTGTGCTTGGCCCAGAATTGCTTTTTGTTCTTGCTTGTGGCAAGGCTTTCCTGCCTTCACTCTGCTTTCCACCCCAGGTGGATTTGGGAGTTCATATGGTCAGATTCTGTAGAGAAGAATTTTGGGCCAGATGTAAAACTGGCATTTGCCTGAGGAAATGGCTGCTGAGTTTGAGGTGGAGGGAATTAAATCTGCAGTGTGCAGGTGCAGGAGAACTTGTTTTGGGTGGTTTCTCAGTGCCCTCAGCTGACAGAAGAGCAGAGCAAAAGTGTGGTCTTGCTCCTGTGCTTTGTGCACAAATAACCCTTTAATGCCCTACTGGGTACAAAACTCTCTTTGTATCTTGATTTTTTTATTTGGGTACCTTGAAAAATCCCCCCCAGAGCTGTCCCTAAAGCCTGGTGCTGCCATGGGCACTGCTGGATCAGAGACCTCCCCTCTGGAAATGGAAAGAGCCTTGGTGCACGTGGAGGAATGGCTGTGACCCGGTGCCGTGGAGTGACTGCAGTGACACCGGGTCCCTGAGCTGGAGCTGCTCAGCCTCAGCCCACCCCTCGCCCCTCCTGTGTCCTTTGGGCTCCCAAAGGGCTGGAATGCTTGCATGGCCTCCAGCAGCAGCAGCAGCAGCAGCTCTGCCATCCTGGGGATGATCCTGGAATGTGTCTGCTAGAGAGTGCTGTGTGCTGGAGAGAGCCCTGAGCCCTGGGACAGAGCCAGGGCTCCTCCAGTGCTGTTAATACAGAGCCTCCAGTGAAGGAAGGAGTGATGAGGAGGACTCCATCTGATCACAAGGCTCATTTATGACTTTATTATACTGTATTATATTAAAGAATTCTATACTACACTAAAGAATACAGAAAGGATACTTAGAGAAGGCTAAAATGATAATAGTGGAAACTCCTGACTCTTTCCAGAGCCCTGTCACAGCTTGGCCCTGATTGGCCCAAGAGTGCAAACAACTCCCAGCAGCATACAGTGAAACAATCACCTGTGGGTGAGCAATCTCCAAACACATTCCACATGAGCACAGCACAGGAGCAGCAAGTGAGATCAGAATTGTTTTCCTTTTCCCTGAGGCCTCTCTCTGCCTTTCAGCTTCCCAGGAGAAAAACCCTGGGAGAAGGGATCATGGTTCAGAGAACAGGAATGCCACACTCCAGAGCAGCTCTGGGGGACACAGTCCTGTTGGTGTGCAGAGCCAGCCTTTGGGAGCACAGCTGTGTCCCTGTGGGCAGGGACTCCCCTCCCTCAGCCCCCTGAGCTGCTGCAGGGACTGCACTTCAGCCTCTCCTGCCCTCCCAGTTTGTCCCAGCTGCTGCTGCTGGGTGGGAGCTGCCTCCTGAGTGCCTTGTGTGGGATCATGCTGCTCTGGGGCTCTGCAGTGCAGGGAAATAAGGAACAAACCCCTGAGTGCCTTCCCCTGGGTGCTGGGACAGCTGAGCTGCTCCTGCTGGGAGGAGGAGCCCGTGGACATCAGTGCCTGCAGGAGGAAGAGGAGAACGGGGATGAGGTTCCCAAGGTGTCCCTGGAAGTGGAGCCCCTTCCCTGAGCCTGCCCACATGGCCTCAGCTGCTCCATTCAGTTTGTGTTGGAAATGGGAATTGTGTGGCTCAGTGGAGCTGGAGTTTGCAGCTGCTGGTGGTGGCTGCTGCCCTGCTGTGACACCAAAGCCCCACAGAGCACAGGCTCTGTCCTGGCCTCTGCAGAGAGCAGCTTGCTTCTGAAAATCTGGCACCCAGAGCCACCATCTGCCTTCCACCTCCTTCCGGATTTGGAACCAGAATTTCACTTGCTGGGTTGTTTTTTTTTTTTTTTTTTTTTTTTTAGTTGCTTTGCTTGGGTTTTAACTGTAAAAGCTGAGCTTACATAAAATGGGCACTTGAAGTGATGTGTAAAAAGTGATTTTCTAGGTGAGCACCCTCCTTTGCTGCTGCTGTCCCAGTATTCCAGTTGCAGTTTGTCTCCTGCAACTAAATCAGGAGACTGATCCATCAATTTGCTTTTTTAATAACCAAACCAAAGTACCATAAATGCAGGTGAAGCTGGAAATGAGACTTACAGCTGCCTTCAGTTCTGCTCAACTAAAACTGAAAAGGTTGCAGGTCAGTCACTGAGTTACTATTTCAGACACACTCCAAAAATATTCCCAGAGCTCTGTCAGTGTTTTTGTGGGAATGCAGATGAGCTTTTTGGGGGTGGAAAAGCACACAGGGCGGGCCAGGAATGGTGCATGATATGAGAATAACACAACAATTTTGGGCCCAAACAATCCTTGAAAGGATAAAATTACCCAGTGTGGGAGAAATGAGGCAGAAACAGAGTGAAAATTTAATCACACAATCAGCAACTGCAGTGTTTCTGCAGTTAAAGAATGATTTACAGAGCTGGATTTCCAAGAAGGATATCCAGGACTGGAATGCTGCAGCTTATGAAAGGATGGATATTTTTCCTCCCTGGGCAGTAATCTAAGGATGTGCCATGGGATACAGGATGTTCCTTCCCTGTGTGGAAAGCTGGGATGGTTCTGACACAAAATTGGGATTTTCTGTTCTCTCCTTGTGTTTCATAACCTGCATTCCAGAGGCTCCGTGGATCATAAATTTATATCCCAAACTGTTGCCACAAGGCATGGCAGAGTTTCCAGAATCCAAACTCCTTGGATGACTTGCAGAAATCAGGGAGATGTCTGCTGCTTCCTCAGCCTCCTGCAGCCAGAGGGGAGGGAGGAAGGAGCAGCTGGAGCTGCACCTCTGGAATCAGCCAGGAATTCATCCCAGGCCGGGCACACAGCAGCATTTCCACACACAGATCCTCTGGGGTGGCCTGCAGGCCAGGCTGACCCTAAAAACATTTTTTAATTGAAGACTAACAGCAAGAATTGTGACATTTTTAAACCCTGCCATCCTGTGTGAGGTGGTTTTTCACAGAATGCTTCAGACCCGAGGTGAGGCACAGAGGCTGCAGCAGAAAGGTCTTTTTGCCAGGTTTGGGAAGCAATTTGTGTGGCTGAGAATGAGGCAGCTGTGTGTGCTGGAGAGCAGCAGCACCTGCAGGGGCTGAAGGCAGCGTGGTTCCCAAACAGCAGCACAGTGCCCTCAGTGATGTTAGCACTTCTGAAAGGCTTTGCCCTAAAGAATGGGAATTTGGTGTTGCCAGGTGAGGCTGTGGAGAGGAACAGCCCCAAAGCAGCCAGCAGAACTCCTGGGCTCTGCTCATGCACTGGGGCTGTTTTTGTTCTTTAGAATGTTTGTGCTCAAGGTTACTTCAGACACAAACCAGTTGCAGCTCTGATGTTGGCCTGCTGTGTATCCTTGCATTGCACTGGCAGGTTCTGGGCGCTGCTCTCAGCTGTTCTCCCTCAGCCTCCTGCCTTCCCCACTTGCACACACCAGGGAAGTCGTGCCCTGTGGAATCTCCTGGCTGCACCTGGGGCCACAGCAGCCTTTGGGCAGGGAATATGCAGAATATTACTGAGAAGCCTAAATTTGAGTGCTGTTTATATAAAAAATGGGTTTGTTTGATACCTCAAGGAGAAGAATTGACAGAATAACCAGGTTGGAAGAGACCTTCAAGACCATCGAGTCCAGCCCAGCCTCAACACCCGGTGCCACATCCAGGCTTTGTTAAACACACCCAGGGATGGTGACTGGGCAGAACATTCCAGAACTTCATCACCCTTTCTGTAATAAAACTTTTTCTTGGTATCCAACCTAAATTTCCCTTGGTGCAGCTTGAGACTGTGTCCTCTGGTTCTGACAGTGCTGCCTGGAGAGAGATCCCAACGTGAGCACAGGCACCTTTCAGGGAGTGATAAGGTGGAAGAGTGATAAGAACCAAGTGCCAGCCAGCAAGAAGCTTCTGGAAGAGTAACCGAGGCCTCCCGTGGAGCCCCAGGAGTTGGTGTGGGAGGCACAGAGTGTGTCAGGGGTCCCTGGTGTCACCTGCAGTGTGGGGGTTCCCAATAAGCCATTAACCCCTCCTGTCTCTCCCCAGCAGCGCGGCCCCGGGCGCCGCCGCGCCAGCTCCGAGCTCTTTGGTTTGGTTGTGCTTCCTCCGTGTGTCCCGCAGTGCCATCCCCCGTGTGGTGCCCTCCCCCCTGCCCCCTGTGCCACGTAGAGTAGCTGGCACTGTCCCCAGGGCTGGCTCTGAGCGCTGTCCCTGCCTTGCAGAGCCGCGGATCAACGCCAGCGAGGACGTGGTGCTGCACGTGGCCGGCGTGGCCGTCACGCTGCAGTGCAACCTGACCAGCAGCCCCAGCCCCCTGGCCGCCAGCTACTGGGTGAAGAACGGAGAGGAGATCCCGGGCACCAGGAAAGCCTCCAACACCACCGAGTACAGGTGAGTGCTGGGCTGGGGACAGGGACACTCAGGGACACTCCTGGTGGCCCCACAGTGGTGGCTCAGCCGGTTCAGAGCTCTTCTCCAGGGCTCATGGGTGGGTTTGTTGCTGCACATCCTCCTGGAGACCAAAATCCACCTGGAATGAGAAATGGGAATGGGCAGGGATGGTGTTCCTGAGGTGTGGGTGGTCTGGGCTGAGCCAAAGGACAAGAGCACTCCTGGTGTTCCTTCCCACAGTGGGCTGGGCCAGGCCTGCCCTGGGGAGGGCAGGGATGGTGTTCCTGAGCTGTGGCTGCTGGGCTGAGCCAGGGGAGCAGGGCACTCCTGGTCGTCTCACAGAAAACTCTGTCAGTTCAGAGCTCTTCTCCAGGGTTCATGGATGGGTCTGTTAGTGCACATCCTCCCAGAGCCCAGAATCCCAGCTGGAATGGAAAATGGGAATGGGCAGGGATGGTGTTCCTGAGGTGTTCCTGAGGTGTGGGTGGCCTGGGCTGAGCCAGGGGAGCAGGACACTCCTGGTGGTCCCACAGTGGTGGCTCAGTCAAACTCAGGCAGTTCAGAGCTCTTCTCCAGGGCTCATGGATGGGTGTGTCATTGCACATCATCCTGGAACCCAAAATCCCAGTGGGAATGGGAAATGGGAATGGGCAGGGATGGTGTTCCTGAGGTCTTGCTGGGGTTGTTAGGTCATGATTTGGTTGTTGTGGGATGGTCCCAGCCCTTGGCTGGAGCTGGTGGGATCCCATGCCACCCCCTCAGTGATGCCCTCAGTGTCTGTTCCCTCTGTGATTTTCTTGCCCTTTTTTTCCTTTCCATCCCTTTTCCCCCTTGATGGACAGCAAATCCCCCTTCCAGTTCCATGTTAAGCCAAGCTGAAGAGCTCTTTAGAGACATTTTAACCCCTGCTGACAACTTGGTCTCAACTGTTTTCTGTCTCTAGAGGGGCCCTTTCCCCCCTGCTTCACTGACACAGGATTAGGGTACATTAGGGGATATTTAATTGTAATTATGCTGATTAGAGGATGTTCAGGTTTCCATGGCCTTAGCAAAGCAGCCTCTCATCCACAGCATTTTGGAAGTTGGTTTGATCCTGATTAATGATTTGTCCTTTCATTTTCTCCTTTAGCTCATTTTGAATTACCTTATTAATTTTGCAACTAAAAACTGAGTTTCATTTCCTTCCACAATTCCTTCCTGACCCTCCTCAGTGCAGTGTTCAGCCCTGGGCCTGAGCTTTGGGGGCTCTGCTTCCCTAGGGAGCAGCCACTGGCTTGGAGTGGTGCTCAGGGTTCCTGGGAATTGCAAATATTGCCCAGCAAGGGTCAGGCTGAGGCTGTTCAAGCCAGGCTGGATTTTTCCTTCCAAATTCCTCTGTAAAGAAGGATTTAGGCTTGGCTTCAGTTTTAACTGCTGGGGAAGGAGGGAGTGGAGTGGGAGAGCACCACAGTCCCCTTGTCCCCAGGGAATGGGGGGACTCCCAGCAATCAATCCCAGGGACAGCTGGAGAAATCCCAGGTTTCCATTTGCAGAGCAGATCCTGAATTCCTGAGCACTCCTGGGCTGCTTTGCTGATGTTGGAGTTCAGGGTCTCTCTGCCCTTTGGTTTTTGCTTTGGTTACATTTTAAATCCAGGAATTCCAAGTTTTCTCAGTGAAAAGCAGCAGCAGCAGCATAGCTGTGGTTAACAGAGAGTGTTTCCCTCCCTCATTTATTTATATTTTATATGGGTTCATCTTTTGTATTCTGTTTATTTCCCTTAAGCTCTCAGGTTCTTGTTTTCTCAGTCACTTTGTTTTGCTGTCAGATGTTTTTGGTGCTTGGAGTTCAAAGCTGGCTACTTTTATCATCCAGAAAACTCCAGAATTTAGAGATTAAACTGTTTCAGTTTAAAATCCTGCCTGTTCCAGCACTGGCAGTGGGGTGAACCTCTCCCAACCCTTCATCCAGCTCGGGGAGCTGCTGTGAGCCTTGAGCTGTGTCAGTTTGCAGCTCCTGAATGATTGATGGCAACCAGAGCCCGGGGAGAGTCACAGAACTCCACCTTGTCCTTCCTCTGCTCACCCTGGGCACGGCCTGCAGGTGCTCAGAGTGTGCTCCTGAACTGCTCTGCCATTGCACAGTTCCTTATCTGAAATTAATTCCCTTTATAGCTTGAGATTGGGTGTGTAAATGCTGTCAGCACTCAGCCTGAAGTGAGCAGCTTTTTCCACGTGTCTCAGCAGTTTCCATGTGTCATTAAATGATTTTATTGCAGGGTTTGTGTTCTTCTGCAGGGGCTCTTTTCCTCGATGAAAAAAGAATTAATAAACAAAGGAAGGATAACAAATAAAAGAATTAATAAAAAGGAATAATTTGAAAGGGAATAATTAATAAAAACAAATGAATAAAAAAGGAGTCTTTTGGGGGAGGAAACTACTTCAGCATGTGCTGGGGAGGGTGGGCGTGCCCTGCTTGCACCAGCAATTAGGAGTGCAATTAAGGGGTGTTAATTGGGTGCTGTTGCTGTCCTGCAGGATCCTGAAGGCCCGAGCAGAGGAGTCAGGGGAGTACCTGTGTGTGTTCGTGTTCTCCGGCTCTCCCGTGGCCAACGCCACCATCGAGGTCAGAGGTACTGGCACTGTCCCCTTGTCCCCTCCCCTGCCCTGCAGCTGGCACTCCCTGCCTCCCTCAGCAGCCCCACAGGAACACAGGAAAAGCCCCCTCACCATGCCTGGGTTCATGATCAGAAATAATAATAATGTATTATCACAGATAAAAGCTCTGATTTCCAGAGAGAGGCTGGCACACATGCAGGGAAGGAGCTCAGAGATGGGAGCAGCCATGGGTTTGTGGGCACTGAAACACCTCTGGGTCTTGGGCACCTCCAGGAGCCTGAAATTAGGAATAAAAGCTGCAAAATGGGCAAGGTTTGCCACAGGTGTGGCTGTAGGGGAGCCACAGAGCAGTGCTGGTGTCAGGGAATTCCCAGGGAATTCCCACAGGGCTGCAGGAGGCTGAGGTTGGGAATTTGTGTGGGATTTGGCAGGCCCTGGGATCCAGCTGGGGGCATCCATCAGTCTGTGGGAAAGGGAATTCACCACCCTGTGCCTCTGAGGAGCTTGGCTGGGTGTTCAGGGCACACAGCTGGAGGGGTTCCATTTTCCTTCTTTTCCTTTAAATGGGGATTTTTTATCCCATCCTGCCCTTTTGCTCTAATTGCTGAATCTCCTGATGCTACCCTAATTAAAATGTAAAGCTCCTGCTGGCTCCTCTGGGCTGCTTTAGGTGACAAAACCACTCCTGGAGAGGGGAAATGCAGCTTTGGGAGTGGAGCAGGAGCTCTGCCAGCTCTGATGGCCTCTGCAAGGCCCTTGGGGATGTTTGCCACGGGGCTTGGCTGCTGCTCTGCCAGGCAGGGCCACCAGCAGAGCTTGGCAGGGAGCTGGGAGCTCACTCTGGGGGAGGAAAAGTCAATTTTGGGGTTGAAGTGTGAGGAGAGCTGATCCTACTCGCTTCCCACAGGTAATTTACACCTCAGTGCTCCTCCTGGGAAGCTGGGACAGTACATGGGGATTGCTCTTGGAGCAGGTGTGAGGACAGTGACACCACCTGGGTGCCCATGCACACCTGTCACCTCATATTCACCTGCATGGCTCCTCTTGGTGCTCGAGCAATTACACTCAGATTTAATTGTAATTATGCTGATTGTAATTAGGGTGCAGCTCTGGCTGCTGATGCACAGGGGAAGGAGGCTGCTGAATGCCAAAGTGCTCGTGCTCCAAAAATAGGGATTTTCTGACAGCTTGTGAGCAGCTTCCCCAGAGCCTGTGGCAGAGCAGCCAGGGCATGCAGGGCCAGCTCCCCTGGTGTGCTGTGCCTGCTGTCCCCCCCTCCCTGGCCCTGCAATGGCCCTGGAGCAGCCTGGCACAGTGGGAAGTGTCCCTGCACATGGCACGAGTGCCACTGGATGGGCTTTAGGTCCCTTCACCCAAACCATTCTGGGATTTTTTCACCAAAAAAAAAATCCTTAGGGCAGAGGAGTGAGGACGGTTGGGAATCCAGGCAGTGTTTGGTGCCTTTCCTGGGAATTCATTCCAAGCTGGCTTCCCTCAGGCAGCTCTGCTGGACTTCTGGGGGGGCTTTGGTCCTGCTCAGCTCCCCAGAGTTTTGGGGGCAGCTCTGAGCTGCAGACCTGAGGCTGAGCAAATGCTGGGTTTGGGGAAATGCTGGATTTAGGGAATCCGGGAAATGCTGGGTTTAGGGAAATGCTGGATTTAGGGAAATGCTGGATTTAGGGAATCCAGCACATGCTGGATTTAGGGAATCTGGGAAATGCTGGGTTTGGAGAAATGCTGGATTTAGGGAATCTGGGAAATGCTGGGTTTGGGGAAACACTGGATTTAGGGAGTCCAGCAAATGCTGGATTTAGGGAAACGCTGGATTTAGGGAATCTGGGAAATGCTGGGTTTAGGGAAATGCTGGATTTAGGGAATCAGCAAATGCTGGATTTAGGGAAATGCTGGATTTAGGGAATCAGCACATGCTGGGTTTAGGGAAATGCTGGATTTAGGGAATCAGCAAATGCTGGATTTAGGGAATCAGCACATGCTGGGTTTAGGGAAATGCTGGATTTAGGGAATCAGCACATGCTGGGTTTAGGGAAATGCTGGATTTAGGGAATCAGCACATGCTGGGTGTAAGGAAATGCTGGATTTAGGGAATCAGCACATGCTGAGTGTAAGGAAATGCTGGATTTAGGGAAACACTGGATTTAGGGAATCAGCAAATGCTGGGTTTAGGGAAATGCTGGATTTAGGAAATCCAGCAAATGCTGGGTTTAGGGAAATGCTGGATTTAGGGAATCAGCACATGCTGGGTTTAGGGAAATGCTGGATTTAGGGAATCCAGCAAATGCTGGGTTTGGGGAAACGCTGGATTTAGGGAATCTGGGAAATGCTGGGTTTAGGGAAATGCTGGATTTAGGGAATCAGCACATGCTGGGTTTAGGGAAAGGGCCCCTTGGAGCAGGGATCCCATGTCCCTTTTCCTTGGCACTGGAGCAGGCTGGGGGTGGTGATTTTGATGGGGGTGGTGGTGCTGGAGCTGCCAGGCCTGGCCAGGGCACCCCTCCTGCTCCCTGGAAGGGGATCCTTGGTTGCTGCATTTCCACCTGGGGCATCCCTGCAGTGCTGGTGTGGAGCTCTGGGGGCCTGAGGATGAAGAGAACCCCACAGAATGAACTGCAGGCCTGGAGAACTCTGCAGGAGTTGTGTCCTCAGGATCTTGGGAGCAGGGGAGAGGAAACAGCTGCTGGAAGGACCTTTTGAATTCCCTTTCCTGCCAGGCCTTTCTGCCCTTGCCTCATCAAGGGATTCCTCTTGCTCCCTTTGCACCTTCCTGTTCCCTCCTCCCCAGTTACTCCTGGGGAAGAGCCTGGGCCTCAATTCCTGGCTGTTCAGCAAACCTCTGCTGCAGCCTGGCTCCTCTCTACCAGGAATAAATTAAATTGGACACTCCTTGAGCCCATGAAAATCCTCTCACATTCCCCCTGCTCCTGGTGCCTTCAAGCTCCAGAGGGAGACAGGGGTTGGAATCAGAACCAGAAAAAGAAACTTTCCTGTTCAGGTCACCCCTCAGACATCCCAGTTTGCAGTGCAGGAATATTTTTAGGTGCTTTGCCCTTGCTTTAATTTTGTCTATTAATGAGAAACTTGAAGGTAACTGGGCCATGGTTTGGAGGTGTCACACATTTAAATTTCCCTCTCCTTTTCAGTGGTAAAGAGCTTGGAAGGGCTGAATGCCTCCTGTACATGGGAAGATGAATTTTCCTGGCTGTGTGACCCCCAAACCCTTCAGAAAGCTGCTGCACACTGAATTTTGTGCTGTTGGGAGCCTCATGGTCACTCTGCCACAAACCCCTTTCCTCCTGTGTTTAGGTTTATAAAACTATCAAAATGATCCTGCTTAGAATTCCTCTCATGTCAAGCATGCCTGAGTGTCTATTTATTTTCCCTTTTTTTGGTAGCAGTTAATTTAAATTAACTCTGCTTCCTTTTGCTCTTTGTGAGGTGTTTCCAGCCCACCTTGAGGATTTTTCCTGTTTCACATGCAGGAATCCAAACCTCCCTTTGCCAGGGGCATTCTGCTGGTGCCAGTGATCAGCAGTGACAGAGAGGGAGCTGAAATCCAAATCCTTCCCAACAAAACCTGCCTCACCCTGATGCCCTAAGGAGCTGGAGCAGAGGCTGGATGGAGTTAAGGGGAATAAAGTGGGGATTTACTGAAGTTCCCTCAAAAGGCCACACCCTGGCAGTGCCCAGATGGCTCCAAGATGGAATCAAAACAGGGCTCAGTCATGAGATCTCACATTTTTATAAGTTTTAGTCCATTTGCATATAGGAGTTAACTGTCCAATTAACAGCTTCAAGTGATGAAGTTTCATCCTCCTTGCTTGCTTTCCCACCCTCCTCTTCTCACATTGTTTATGCTTTGGGCCTGAAGTTTGAAGAGTCTCCAGTCCTTGAGTCTCCAGCTAGAACAGGATTGTTTTGTCTCCACCTGCTGTGAAAAGATCCCAGTAACACTTAATATAAAGCTAAAGCTGCACACCAACACAGAACAGAAAACTGAAAACCTAAGGAATCAGCCCTGGGCTTTGGTTGACAATAGAACAGGATGGTGCAAGGAGCAGTCCTGGCTTGAAAAAGCTTCCCAGGAAAACCCTGCTGAAGCTGGGGCTGCAGGGTTCTGGTGCCAGCAGGACACAGATTCCTGCATTGTTTGGGACAGAAAATGCTGGGGTGGTGTCTCTGAGCCCTGAAACCCCAGCAGTGCACAGAGCCCCTGGGGTGCTCCAGGAATAGCCCTGGCCCAGCAGAGGCATTCTGGGCACTGCTGCTCTGCTGGGATCTCCCTGGGATCTCCCTGGGAGCCGGCCTCTCCTTCCTGCAATGTCACTGTGTCACCCTGAGCAGCAGTGGAGGTGTCCCAGAAAGTGTTCCCTGTCCTTTCCTGTCCCTTCCCTCCCTGCCAGCAGCCTGACACAAACTGGGCCAGCTGGGAGTGCTGTCCCTGTCCCCTTTTCCAGGCTCAGCCCTGCTCAGGGTGGCACTGGAAGCCAGCAGCTTCGAGCTGCTGAGTGCCACTGCTGCTCCTCCTCATGGGAATGTTCCCAGCAGTGCCAGCTCTGGGATTGTGTCCTTGTCACCGCCGGGCTCCCGTGTCCCTAGGCTGGAGGAGATCCCTCCTTGGCATCCTCCAGGAAGCAAATCCAGAGGGGGCTCCCCCAGCTCCTGCTTTAGGAAGGTCCCAAGCCCAGCAGGGAAGTGGTGGCATCTTTCAGTAGGTGCCCAGATGCCAGTCCCCTCTGGAGCCCTCATTATTTGGGATAAATGACATTTTCCTCTCCCAGGCTGGGGACAGGGGCTGGCAGCAGCACAGCACTGCCAGCCCCAGGGCTGATTGATTTCCTGCCTGAGGACATGAATTCAGCTCAGGAACTCCATTTGCTCCAGGTGTTCCTGCCCCTGGCAGGTGGGGAATGTTCCTGGCAGCTCCTTTCTGTACAAGAGCAGGGGGTTGTTTGGATCTGATGCCTTTGTGCAGGTCAGCTTTTATGTCTCTCAGGGTATTTTAATGTCTGATGTGGAAAGTTGCATTTTGGGTGGTGGTGTTCTCAGGGGTCCCAGGACGAGGGAAGAGATGAGAATCTTGACTCCATGTTTCAGAAGGCTGATTTATTATTTTATGATATATATTATAGAAAAAGAAAATGATATCTTAAAACTCTGCTGAAAGAATAGGAGAAAGTATTTCAACAGAAGGCTTGCAAGGAAAAGAAAAGGAATGATAATAAAATCTTGTGACTGACCAGAATCCCAATCCAGCTGGACCTTTGATTGGCCATTAATTAAAACCAGCCACATGAGACCAATCCCAGATGCACCTGTTGCATTCCACAGCAGCAGATAACCATTGTTTACATTTCATTTCTGAGACCTCTCAGCTTCTCAGGAGGAAAAATCCTAATGAAAGGATTTTTCATAAAATATGACACATTTTGGGTGTCAGTTTTCTTAAATAAACCCCTTGGGTTTATTCTTGGCCTGTTCTTACATATCATGGTGTAGTGGTTTTGGCATCATCTTGGAATTAAGGAGTTGGCATCTGCCTGGGCTTCATCCTCTGGTAAGGACTCCTCCAATGTCCAGGAATGCTGGGTTGGAAATGCTGGGTTGGAAATGCTGGGATGGAAATGCTGGGTTGCAAATGCTGCTGGAATTCCCATGGGCACTTGGAGGATGCCTGGGCCCTCTCCTGTGTGCCTGTGCAGGTGAACACACACCAGCAGGAGCTGAACCCCAGGCTTTCCTACAGCCATGGGTTTTCTGTGGTTCTCAATCTCATTTGGATGATGCTGTTACTGTCCAAAAAGGATCTGAGGCACGGGATGCTCCCTGCACCCAAACCCCTTTGACACAGCACAGGAGGAAGCAGGACAGCTTGCCAGGCATTTTCCCAAAGGTTGCTGCTGCAATTTTGGGATGAGCAGGCTCAGCTGCTGTCTGCTGGCCTGAGAGCTTTTGTTCCCTTTGAGCAAATTCCCCTCATGATCTCAGCCTGCAGCTGGAATTGCTGGCTCTGGGTGCACCTGCAGGGAATCTGCTGGTGGAGCAGGGGAGTCTCCTGTAGGAAATTCCAGTTTCCTGGAGCAGCCAGGCTGGCCTGGGCTGGATTAACAGCTCAGAGCTGCCATCACACATCCAGCCACGTGTGCTGTAATTAGGAGCTGCAGCTTTAAAGGTGGGGGCCCTGCAGCCTGGGGCCATCTGCTGGGCCAGGGGTCAGCCCAGGCACTGCCCTGAGCCAGCCTAAGCTCGGGGGGGCTTAGGGCTGCTCCGAGGGACACACACAGAGCACAGGGTTAGGGTGAGGGACACACACAGAGCACAGGGTTAGGGCTGAGGGACACACACAGAGCACAGGGTTAGGGCTGTGCTGAGGGACACACACAGAGCACAGGGTTAGGGTGAGGGACACACACAGAGCACAGGGTTAGGGTGAGGGACACACACAGAGCACAGGGTTAGGGTGAGGGACACACACAGAGCACAGGGTTAGGGCTGGGGGGACACACACAGAACACAGGGTTAGGGCTGAGGGACACACAGAGCACAGGGTTAGGGTGAGGGACACACACACACAGAGCACAGGGTTAGGGCTGCTCCGAGGGACACACACAGAGCACAGGGTTAGGGTGAGGGACACACACAGAGCACAGGGTTAGGGCTGAGGGACACACACAGAGCACAGGGTTAGGGCTGAGGGACACACACAGAGCACAGGGTCAGGGCTGCTCCCAGGGACACACACAGAGCACAGGGTTAGGGTGAGGGACACACACAGAGCACAGGGTTAGGGCTGAGGGACACACACAGAGCACAGGGTTAGGGTGAGGGACACACACAGAGCACAGGGTCAGGGCTGCTCCCAGGGACACACACAGAGCACAGGGTTAGGGTGAGGGACACACACAGAGCACAGGGTTAGGGTGAGGGACACACACAGAGCACAGGGTCAGGGCTGCTCCCAGGGACACACACAGAGCACAGGGTTAGGGTGAGGGACACACACAGAGCACAGGGTTAGGGCTGGGGGGACACACAGAGCACAGGGTTAGGGCTGTGCTGAGGGACACACACAGAGCACAGGTTCAGGGCTGCTCCCAGGGACACACACAGAGCACAGGGTTAGGGTGAGGGACACACACAGAGCACAGGGTCAGGGCTGCTCCCAGGGACACACACAGAGCACAGGGTTAGGGTGAGGGACACACACAGAGCACAGGGTCAGGGCTGCTCCCAGGGACACACACAGAGCACAGGGTTAGGGTGAGGGACACACACAGAGCACAGGTTCAGGGCTGCTCCCAGGGACACACACAGAGCACAGGGTTAGGGCTGTGCTGAGGGACACACAGAGCACAGGGTTAGGGCTGCTCCCAGGGACGCACACAGAGCACAGGGTTAGGGCTGCTCCCAGGGACACACACAGAGCACAGGGTTAGGGTGAGGGACACACACAGAGCACGGGGTTAGGGTGAGGGACACACACAGAGCACAGGGTTAGGGTGAGGGACACACACAGGGCACAGGGTTAGGGTGAGGGACACACACAGAGCACAGGGTTAGGGTGAGGGACACACACAGAGCACAGGGTTAGGGTGAGGGACACACACAGAGCACAGGGTTAGGGCTGCTCCCAGGGACACACACAGAGCACAGGGTTAGGGTGAGGGACACACACAGAGCACAGGGTTAGGGCTGCTCCCAGGGACACACACAGAGCACAGGGTTCCTCCATAACATCCCCTCGGGGTGGCAAAGCCCAGCTTGCAGGGAGCAGGAGGGATTTGTGTGCAGGTGAGTGAAAGGAGCCTGTTTGCACTTACAAACTGCTCTGTTGTCTCGTAGCCACTCCTGACATCACTGGGCACAAGAGGAGTGAGAACAAAAACGAGGGCCAGGAGGCCCTGATGTACTGCAAGTCCGTGGGCTTCCCCCACCCTGAGTGGGTGTGGCGCAAGAAGGTCAATGGGGTGTTTGAGGTAAGGAATGGGCTCAGGGTGTCTCACCCTGCCCAGACCCCCTGAGAGGGAGGAGAGCATCCCCTGGGGTTGGGGATGGGCTGCTGAAGGAGCTTTGTGACTTCTCCAAGTGCAGTCCCTCCAAAGTGTGAGTCAAGGTGGGTATTTTTGACAGCAGTGAGGATGGATGGGCAAATATAAAACTGATTTTTATATATCAATATCAATACAAATATATAAAAATGTAAATATATTTAAATATATATAAATAAAAAATTGATACTTTTATTATTGGTATGTGAAAAAAACTGCTCACTGCACTGCTGAGCAAAGTTAAGGACTTACCCTGAAAGCCATTTTCTGGAATTTGCTACAAACTGCAAGACTGACTTAGAAATGTGATTTAAAACCACATTGGGTTATAAATTCCTCCAAGTTTTACTGGTTGAGCTCACAAGACTTATTATGAGGAGGTGGCAGTGATCCCTGTTAGAGCTTGGGTGATCTGTTTGTTCCGTGTAGCCAGTGATGTAGTGAGCAGGAAAATGTGACCAGCAGTGGGAATAGCAAAGAGGAGCTGGGAATTTCCAGCCCCTCCAGCCCAGCTGTTTCCTGTTGCTGCATGGATTGGATGGATGGAGCCAGAAAGTGAAGCAAATAGCAGGGTGGGATGAGTGTTCCCTGCTGAGTGTGAGCTGGAGGTTTTCAGGAGTGGCTGCGTGCTGGCAGTGATCAGACCCCTGAGGGCAGAGTTCCCTCTGTGGTGTTTGGAGGCACAAACACCAGGCCTGGGCTCCTCCCTCCAATCCCCTGTTCCCGTGCCACAAAGGCCTTAAAGCCGTTGCTCTTTCCCACCCCTGTCCCTTTGCCAGGACATCAACAACTCCTCGGGCAGGTTCTTCATTTCCAACAAAGAGAACTACACCGAGCTGAGCATCACAAACCTGCAGATCAACGAGGACCCCGGCGAGTACCAGTGCAACGCCACCAACCAGGTGGGCTCCGTGTCGGTCACCACCATCCTGCGCGTGCGCAGCCACCTGGCCCCGCTGTGGCCCTTCCTGGGCATCCTGGCAGAGATCGTCATCCTGGTGGTCATCATCGTCATCTACGAGAAGCGGAAGCGGCCGGACGAAGTTCCCGACGGTAAGTGCGCCCCGCGCCGCCGCTGACCCGCCCGGCCCCGCTGCTGCTGCTGGAGGAGCCGCTCTGCAGGAAGGACCAGCAGCACAGCCTGCCCCGCTCCACGCTCCTGCCTTTCTCCTCTCCTCCCTCTCCGGACATGAAGCCCACAAGGGTGCAAGGCCCAGGGCTGGATCTCAGGGGGTCTCAGGGGGGTTGTGGATGTCTTTGTTTGTTGAGGGGTGGAGCGCTCCCATCTCTCTGTGTGTCCGCCCCAAGGAGCAGCACAGGGGCAGAGCTGGCAGCACCCTCAGCCCTGGTGGCATTCCCTCCTCCCTGTGGATGGACACTGGGCAGGGGCTGTCAGGGGACATTGCACTCAAACCAAGGAATCATTGCACTTCAAGGGATTGGGGCTGCAAAGGTGCTTCAGAACTAAAATGTGTGCAGGGATCAGAGATGGGGGGAGGGCTCTTACTCTGCTGTGTAGCTGAATCTGTAGTTAAGGAATGCTCTGGAACCTGTATCTATTGTAGCCACCGATTAGATTTTATAAAAATAGGGCTTATTATCAGGTTTGATGGTAGCAATAATTAATTAATTCATCTGTGTTTGGTACATACAACTAGTAGTAACTTTCATCTATGAACTCCTGCACACCTTGCCCTGTGCACAGCTGGGGAAAGGAGCAGTGTGAGGCTGAATATTTGCAAGATCCATGCTGAGAAACAGCCTTTAATGTGCTGCTAGCAGCTTACTCCAGTTTGTAGCAAGAAAACCTCTGCGAGGACTCCTTGGGAGAAGCAGCAGGAATGTCGTGGTGCTGCAGGAACACGATGGATCCAAGCATGGGGCAGGTGGAGGGCAGCGTGCTGGAGTGATCCTCAGCACCATCCTGGGCTGGCCAAGCCCTTCCCACTGAGAGCTGTTTCCCAGGGCTGTGTGGCTGCAGGGGGCCCTCACAGGGCATGAAAATAGAGGTGTGGGACAGTGATGTGTGTGTGGGGTGGGCACAGCCACCCTCACGGGCCTCCCACGGGATCTACAGCGAGGAGAGGAGCTCGTGGAACACAGCAAATGGAATAACAGGAGCAGGGCCGAGGCTTGGATCAGAACTGGCTGAGGTAGTGCATCCCTAGAGGGAACCAGCTTTGGTTGTAAGCCTTGAGTAGCACTTACTAACTGCTTACAGAGCATGTGTGGGGGCTGCTCTCAGAGTGGAGCTCCCAGTTGAACCGTAGTGCATGTTCTGTGCATCACTAACAGCTTCCAGTGGCTCCAGGGCTTGTCCTGCTCTCAACGTGGCCTCAGGGACCTCCACCAGCCTGGAAAACTTGGAACAGATAATTTTCATTTTCCTCCTCCTCCACATCAGTGATTGCAGTTCCCCACATTCAGAATTTTCATTGGATGGAGTCTCACAAGGACCAAAACAAGGTCCTGGGAATTTGATACACAAATATTCCCTGCAAACAGCCCCAAATGGACTGAATCCAACAGGAATTGGCTGTGGTGTTAGCAGATCACACTGGAGGTGAAGAGTTCGCTGCCTCTTTCCAAGGCAGGAGTTTTCCTGGCTGGTGTGGCCACTCCCCAGGTACCCAAGGGATCCAGGCTCATCATCCCCCTGGAGCTGTCCAGGATGATGAGCCAAGGAGCTGAGGTCACTCCAGTGCTCACTGGGGCTGCTGTTGTGAAGGCAGAGCCCTGGGGAGTGACATGACACCTCTGTGGGGGTCAGATGTTCTCCCTGTCCCCTTTCCTGGAGGAGAAATCCATGCTGAGTATGACAGGCTGTAGCTGGGGATGAGGTTTGCCTGGCTGATGGACACAACTGGCACCATGCCACCCTGAGTCCCACATTCCTTGGATAGTTGTGCATTTTCCATACTGGCACCGAAGCTTTCTGTGCTGCTGTGGTGGGGAACGCCCTGGGAGCAGGGCACGTCTAAATGCACACGTGGGAAATCATCAGGAGCCTCCTGATTGCCACGTGGGGGTGTTTGACTGGGGTTATCCTGAATTTTCTTCTTTTCAAGACATGGTTATGAAATGCCAAAGTTAATGCTGGAATGCAGCGGCGCGCTCGGAGTTTGGGATTTCAGCTCCCCCTTCCAAAATCACAGCTCCGCCTCCGCTGCTGCAGGGAGCTGGGGAGGGAAGGGCAGGGAGCTGTGGCTGAGCCAGCAGGCTGAGGCCAAACACACAGCACTCCTTACCCACAGCAGCTGGCACCAGCCAGGGTCTCTGCTGGCTTCTCCAGCCCTGGTGTTGTGCTCAGCTTCAGGGATGTGCTCATGGCAGGGCTCCACGTGAGGTGCTGCTGCCCTTCCTGCTGGGATGGGAATGTTCTCCTTGGGCCTCTCCAAATTTACACACTGGGATTGCTTCATCATCAGCACCATCACCCCCTCTTCCCAGGGAGGAATAACTCTGGAATGCCCTTCTGGAGCCCCCAGGTGTGTGTCAGCCTGTGTCCCACAGCAGGGGTGAGGATGGCTGGCCCCTGTGGATCTGTTGCACATCGTGCTGGGGGGTGGCTCTGGCTGCAGATCCCTGTAAAGATCCCAAGGGCTGGGTGCAGGTGTTGCACCTGTGGTGTCCCCACTCTGCAGGTACCACACATCCACCTCAGGGTGTCTGCCCCTGTCCCTCAGGAATCCTCTGATGTCCTGGCCACTGTCTGGCCTGCTGAGAGGAGTGCACAGAGAACTGGAAATGTGGCTTATTCAGACCACTTCTAAGGATTGTTTGTAAAATTTGGAGAAAACCAGTGCTGCTAAAGGAGGCCACTTCCTGTGTTGAGGAAAACCAAAGGCTTTTGGAGCAGAAGGAGCTGTTACTGAACTGCTGGAGCACACCTTGGCTCCTGACTGGGGCAGTGCAGGATGAGCTGCTGGTTTTGCATTCTGCTGGGAGCTGCAGGTGCCCACCATGAGCTCTCACCTCGTGCTGTGCCCAGGTGATACTTCAGGGCTGGCTCAGTTAAACCTGCACAAATGACAATGTTTGGGGTGTGCTGGGTCAGCTGCTCAGGTGAGACCAGTCTGGTGCTGGGCACAAGTGCCCAGTTACTCCTGGGGCACGTGACTGGTGGGACAGAAACGTTCTCTGGGTGAGAGGATCCTCAGGCCTCTGGAACTTTTTCCCCAGCACCTGGAAATTCTGCCTGGCCAGCCCAAAGAAACAATTGAATGTTTCCCTCAGATCTCCATGCTTCAAATGCCCTGGCTCAGCGTGCCCATGGGAGGCTGGGGAGGGTGATGGGCTCCTGGCTACACTTGGAGCAGTTCAGTGTAAAGATGTTCCCTCTGTTGGAGGTGCTGGGACACTCCTTTAACTTTGGCATTTCCTGACTGCAGGCCTCAGTTTTGCATGGACCTGGCTTTGTGTGTCCGTGAGCTGCTTGGTGTGCCTCGGGCCAGGGCTGCTCAGGAGCTCCTTTGCTGATGTTTCCTCCTTCTCAGGACTCTGATTTGGGAGTTGATTCTTTTTCCTGCTGTTGGAGAGCAGGAAAAGGAATATAGCACCCACAAAATGCCTGTTCCACAAAACAGTGGCATCAGGGGGTGCCTGGAGCAGGGTTTGCTGCAGAGCCTGTGGATGCTCTCCCAGCACACCCAAATCCCGTGCTGGAAGGAGGAAGGGAGGGTAGATGGCGCTTCAATTCCTGCATCCTCTCAGATTGAATTCCTGCATCCTCTCAGAACCTGAGTTCTGACCTGCCTTACACCTGGCAAGGCAGCGTCCAGCTCGCTCCCCATTCCCAGAGAGCAGCAGGGGCTGGCACACCCAGAGGGGGCTGGCACACCCAGAGGGGCTGGCACACCCAGGGAGGCTGGCACACCCAGGGGGTCTGGCACACCCAGAGGGGGCTGGCACACCTGGGGGGACTGGCACACCCGGGGGGGCTGGCCACAGGCAGCTCCTGTGGCTTTGGGGTGAGAGCTGCATGAGCTGGCATGCCCTGGCACGTGGCTGCATGCCCAGGGGAGGAGGTGCCAGCAGGGAATGCCAGGGTGCTGCCCTGGGCAGGGAGAGCAGGGAATGGCTTTGTTCTCTGTAGTACAGCCTGAGCTGCTTGGTTCCATAGCTCAGCCAGCACCACCTGAGTGTAGCCTAGCAGAGGTTCCTAAAGCAGGGGGCTGGCTGCTGTTGTTGCACCCAGTAGTCTAAAACCAGCACAGCCCCTGGTTAAAGGGTGTTTGCTGGGGTAAGTAGAAGGTAAAAACCCCTTGGCTCCATTCCCCATAGGAACAGGAGTGGTTTGTACTTGGAAATCCATAGCCCTGGGGTGACTGGGTTATAACCTGTCCCTTTTCCTTCTCCCCTCTCATTCCTCAGCCTAATCCAAAGACTTCCCATTAATGTGTTTCCTCTCCTGGCTCTGCAGAAGCTCCATCCAAATCCCCACATTCTTTCTAACCCTCTTTTGCTTTTTTCTTGACTTTCCCTGTTCCTGCTATTACTGTAAGTAATTGAAAGAAACAAACTGTTTAACTGCAACCATTTACCTTTTGTAACCAGTGCTTTTGGTGGTTTTTTTTTTCCCTTTTATGCACATCTTTCTCTCCTACACTTTAAATCTGTCAGGATGAGGCAGGTACACAGTGAGGCCATAGCCAGCAGCTGTTCCCAGCAGCATTGCTGTATCCCAGTGGGAATGGACACAGGACCCTGAGCTGCTGTCACAGGCTCTGGCTGCTCCTTCAGAGCATTGAGCTTCCCCTGGATCCCTGGCAGTGCCCAAGGCCAGGCTGGACAGGGCTTGGAGCTCCCAGGGACAGTGGAAGGTGTCCCTGCCCATGGCAGGGGGTGGCTTTAAGGTCCCTTCCAACCCAAACCAGGCTGGGATTGATTCTTTCCAGGTTTTAAAGCATGAGCTGAGATGTAGAATCCCTTCAGAAGCAAAAATTGGAATCTTAGTGCTGGAAGAACCCGCTAGTGTTTCATTTTTAACTTCCACCAGTCACAAGATGCTACCCAGGATTAATTTGATGCTAAAAATAAACCCTCTAGCTTTCCAAAGGCGGTGAAAGAAACTGAGTGACATACAAAATGCCTGTAAATTAAGGCTGAAAATGGGAGGGGGGGGCACAAAACACATTCCCATCCAAGTGGAGGAGCTAAGGGAGATCTACTTGTCATCATCTTCCAATTTTAATTCCCAGATATTTTTGCCTGCAGGGATTGATTACCTGTGTTAAAGGCAAGCAGCACTTCTCCCATTTTGGCTCAGAATGTGCAGTTTTGGGAGCCCATGAAGCAGGTCATTCCATGCCCTGAGGAAAGGCCTGGCTGTGGGGTTATGGCTGTGCTCTGAGCAGGGGGGTTTTGGAGGTGCCCAGTGCAGGGCAGGTGCTGCAGGAGGGGCTCAGTGGCTGCTCCCAGTGCTGGGGGCCCTCTCTGTGCCATAGGTGCTGCTGCCTGTCCTAGAGCAGGGCTGTGGCATTAAAGCTTTGGGTGATAATTGATCTTGTCGGTTACTATGACTTCTTTTTTTTTTTTCCCCCCTTCAATTGCATCATACCCTTAAAAAATGGTGGTAAGTGAGAGCTCTGCATGCTTTGGAGTTTGTTTAACCTCCGCTTCAGTCTATACAACGCACAAGTCATAACGTTAACACTCTTGAAAACTTCCTCATTCACGTTCACAACTAATTTGGATTTCAGTTTGCTGTTTTGAACCTTTTCTTTAGTCTGATTTTGTACTGGTTTTTCTGTTGTTCTGTTGCCCCTGGTTTCGCTGAGGGTTCGGTCTGTGTCTGTACTGTACTGGGGATGCTTTGCCAGCACTTAACGACTGACTGGGAATTTCCCTTGGTCTTTTTAGCTGTGGTTTAGCTTAGAGATGGGACAGGGAGGAGTCGTGGGGATCCACCAAATAGAGTATTCCCAGTAGGCTTTTTTGTGGGATCTTCGTGAGGAATCACTGATGGCAGCCTTTATCAATTTGAAGCTGCTTTTTAAAATTTTTTTTTTAATTTATTTTTTTTATTTTTGACAACACAAACTTGCTGATCTGAAACAGGCATTTAAATCTTTGAGCAGAGAAGGGAAAATGGTTATTTTGTAGCGAGTGTCCAGGGTGCAGTTTGCTATTGCTGAAGTCCAGCCAAACAAACTCCCAAAGCAGTGGATGGTGCTTGTTGGAGCCCAGCTGGGTCTCGGAGGCAGCGCTGGCCTCGGGGCCAGGGCTCCCTGTCCCGCCCGGAGCGCGGAGCTCGGCTGCTCTCGGATCCTCGGTTCCCAGAGATGTTTGTGGAAGGAAGCCATAGATTCCTCTGCTGTGCTTTGTGTTTGAGTACCTGATGTGTCTCTGTATATCTCACTGTATATACAACAGCACATTGATGTCTGGCTGTCCTTCCTAGTCCCAGTTCTCTGTACCGTGTCCGATAGTTACTGTTGCTGGTACTGGAATTCTGTGGACACCAGTGTGTCGCTAGTCTGTTACTTTGGCTGTAAAGCTCTTGGTTTGTGGTTAGTTCTTTATTTTTGAAGTATTTTCTGTTCTGGTCACTGTCTGTGCTAGCGGTGGCTTTGCCTCTCCGTTGCCTCGAGGGCCCAGGTGGAGTAATGTCCCCTCTCCCTGACATTACTCCTGGCGTGTGCTCATGCGGATGCCTACACTGTAAGACTGTAATTTCCATAACTGCTTCATGTGCACTAAGCACCCTTGTGGAATCCTGCTGAGAGTTTCTCAAAGACTTCCCTGAAAAATCCCTCCGGCACGAGCTGGGAATGGCAACTGTCAAGTGCCAAAACCAGCAGGGCCTGAATTGGTCCCCCCAAAATCCATCTGTGGGAGCATTAGGCTCCTGGATTGACTCTTGTACTGTTGTGTAAATGCATTTTTTTCTTCTTTACTACAGTGTGGGTGAAAATGGTGTTTGAGAATTCCAAAACAAAGCCCAATTGGTCCTGAGAGTTAATATGAAACATTCCTCATTGGCAGATTCCCTACCCCCTGCCAGCTCCTAAATGAGTTTTGCCAAGGGCCGTGGGCAGGACGATGCTGTCAGTGCTCTGCAGCTGAAGTGTGTCCAGAGGTGTCCCAGCACCCTGACTCCTCCTGGGGACACTGGATGCTGCTGCCCAAGGACCATGGCTGGGGCTGGAATTGAGCGTTCCTAACCTGGTCCCTTCTAATTAAACTTGGAGAAAAATGGGGAATGTAGAGGTTGTTTCATCCATGGGGGAAAATGAGTGTTGGGTATGTACCCTCTGGGGTATATACCAGGAGTTACCCATCAGCAGTGGAAAAATGGCTTAAAAATTAAAATACATATTAAAAAAAAGTCAATGCAAGCAAACATCCAGCAGGATTTTACAACTGAACCGTTGGTTTGTCTCCTCATCTATTTTTTATGAGATTGAACCACTGGAACTTGGGGACAAGATGAGCCTTGATCATGTTGCACCAATCTGTCCGCTACAGTTGCAGTCCTTCATGACCAGCATTCCAAGTGTTAACTAAACCCATTGAAGCAACATACCTGCCATTAAACCCGAATCCAGAGCAGTAACTCCATGATCCTTGCACTCCCGACTGGAATGGCCTTTGATGCTGTAGATAGATCAGTTTGCTGCTCCTTGTGACCCCCTACAAACACTGACTCTGTTTTCCTTTCCTTCCCTTGTCTCTCCCTGGCTGCCTCGGGATGCTTGCTGCAGATGATGAACCAGCTGGGCCAATGTAAGTGTGTTTTTGGGAAAAAAATACTCTTTGGGATAATCTGGGGGGTTGTGGGAGGTGATAAATCATAGGGTTGATATTGCATGTGACATTACAGATGGTGTTGGACCGTCTGGTGCATTTCTTAGCACCAGAGGAAAGAAAAGCAACATCTTGCTAGAAAACAAATACTGGGCTAAAATACAAAAGCTAAAACTGTGTTGTCTTCAGCCAGTTGAAGGGAAGAAGACTGAAACGCTGCCTAATGAAGTACAAATAACGTCCATTTTCCCTGTACCTGTGACTGATTTTTGATGCATTTCTCTCCCATCCCTTTCTGCAGGAAAACCAATTCTACAAACAATCACAAAGACAAAAACTTACGTCAGAGAAACACAAATTAAAAACGCTCATCATGTAAGTATTGCCTGCACCCGGCTGGGAGCGGGCAGGCCCAGCCCTCCTGCCTGGAGTGCTGGGGGGCAGCAGCAAAGCGTTCCCTGCATTAACCATGAAACATTCCTGCTGCGCCTCAGGGACCACGGGGGGGGACCAAACATTGATTTCCTCAGGCAGGCGGGGGGTTTAAGGACCTGCTTGCTAAAATCTGGGCAGAGCTGCCGAGCCCTCCTGATTGATTCCTCCCTAAAAGGCGGAGCTGGGGCTGTCGGGAGCCCCGGTGGGAGCGCGGGGGTTGCAGGCTGCGGCGGCTCGCGCTGTTCACCATTGACTAGCACCTCTTTCTCGTTTCTTTTTTAGAGCTTTAAGTTTCTGAGAGACTGATGGCAATATGACCTGCTAAATTTAAGGGTTGGAACTCTTGGTTCTAGAACTCCAGTTCTGTCTGATTTCTTTTTTTTTTTTTTTTTCTTTCCTTTCCAAGTGAGCAACAATATGACTGTCTAACGCATGCCTTATTTAGCCTCTCCTGCAAGGATGACCTAGCCAGATGAATTTTAATAATGCTTCCGTGTAGAAGGTGTAAACTCTTTTGGGCTTGATGTGCTGTGAATGTTGCTTTTTTTTCCTCCTTTCCTCTCTTTACACGAGCAGTAGCCAGGCGGGTTCACGCATGCGCTGTTTTTTACTTCCTGTAGCTGTTAAATTCGGCACCGCTCAAACCGCACCGCTGCCATCTAGTGAGACTTCTTTTGTAAAGTACAGCAAAACTTAAAGATATATACAGTATATATTTATATTTGGGGGAGGGGAAACCAGAAGTCGTTGTGGTTCATTTTGAAGCTGCTGATATTCATTCCTTACTGTATGGCTGGAAGGAGGGAGTGATGCCGGGCCGGTGCTTGCAGCAGGGACATTGGAATTTCCTTAAGGGCTTTAACCATGGAGCACGGGGTGTCCTGTTGGGCGTCGGGGCTGGGTGGTGCCAGGGGCTGCTGGTGGTGGTGGGATGCAGTTGGAAACAAAAACAAACCTTCAGTTTATAAATATATATATATGATTGCTTTTTAAGTGATTTTTTTTTTTTTTTTTTTTGTTAACTCATGTAAATTCTCAAATCCTTTTGCACTGATGTGTTCGACATATTCTTGTACATTCAATTCAGGCAAACTTTTATAATTTTCTTTTTTTTTTTTTTGTTTAAATGATGAAATGTTACAGCATGGTGATATTCTATGCAACTAGTTATTCCTCTTTAGTTTGACACTGTAATTTCTCATGATTTAAAGATTGTAGAAATAGACCTACCAGGGTTCTCATGATGTGCGTAACTGTAGCTGCATGAACTCGTGTTCTGTGTATTTGTTGAAGTGCAATGATGTATAAAAAGTGGATTCACCTGTTTTTAAAAATAAAACACCGACAAAAACCGCTGTGGGCCTCGTTTTTCAACCTTTAATCAGCAGAGCTGCGTGCACCCTGGGGTCCAGGCGTGCCTCATTCCTTGGCCAGCCTGTGCAGCTCCTTCTCCACGTCCTCCACGAAGGCAGGGAAGTGCTGGTCCATGAGGCAGAGGCGGATGAAGGTTCCCAGCTCCCGGGCGCTCCAGGCCGGCTGCCGCAGCGCCGGGGGCAGCTCCGGCCTCTGCTGCAGCACCCACTGCCAATGGAAGGTGGGAAGGGGGCCCTGAGCTGGGGCACGAGGACACAGCCCAGCCCAGCCCTCCTGGGTGCTGCAGGAACATGGAGCTGCCTGCGTTTGGTGCCCTTGGAGTGCTCTCAGTCAGCTGGGATTTGTGTGTGTGAGCTTTTCTCTGATGTCCGGGTGTGATTGCAGTGTGGCTTTTACACTGCAATTACTTCAGTGGAAATGGACCCTGGAAATGCCAATCTCCTGGCTACTGTGGCTTCCTGCTGGGTATCCATTCTGTAATCAGTGTACAGGAGCTGTACGTGCTGCCACATGGATGTGTGGGGATAACCAAGTGTGCACTTGCAAGCTTTTCATTTAGCCAAATGCTTTTTAGAAGTAAAGTATGGAGCTTTTATTTTAAAACTTCCTTTTCATCCCTGTTTAATCCCCTCTCCCAGCTTTTTCCCGTGGGGGTGGGAGAACTCTGGGCATCGTGGCACTGGGGTTGGAATGAGGTGACCTCTGAGGTCCCTTCCAGTCCATCCCACTCTGGAATTCTGTGCTCAGCCAGTGACTACGAAAGAAGGGTGAGGAAGACACAGAGAAGGAACTGCACAAACCCAGAAAAGAGCAGAGTTTTCTGCTCACCTGCTTCTGCACTGGCCTGAATTCCAGTAAGTGAGAAACAGTTGACTTGCAGGTGTTTACCCAGAACTGCTCAGTGCAGCTGTCCATGGAATATGGGGATGCTTTCATGTGGGCCAGGGTTGAGAAGGGTCCAGGGGAACCTCAGATCCCCTGTCAGTGCCTAAAGGGGCTCCCAGAGAGCTGGAGAGGGACTTGGGACCAAGGAGAGTGGGTTCCCATTGCCAGAGAGCAGGGTTAGATGGGATATTCTGTGATTCCTTGATTGATATTTCCAGGCTTCAGCTCTGATCTGCACGAATCATTTCTGCAGAGTCAAACCAGTGCCAGAGCCATTCATTTGGATGTTGCCTCTGGGTATTTCTTTGCTCCTGCTCTCAGTGTGTCATTTGTTGCTATTCAGATGGGGTGATTACACCACCCAACACCTTGTTTTGCTGCTGGTTCCCTGGCTCTGGATCGTTACACAGATCCAGCGTTTTGCTGGTGGAGATGATGGCATCCCAATGCTCAGGGAAGGCATTTCCCAGATGGAATCTGAGACAGCTCATTCTCAGGCTCAGTTACAGACTCTAAACAGGAGATGTTTGTTTTTTACCTGTGCAAGCTGTGCTACAGATCTTCTTTCTCCAAGGCTTGTGCAGGAGTCTGGGAGAGGCTCATCTGGCTAGAAAATACCAAATGCAAATAAGGGCTTGTTACCAAGCAGAGTGTGGGTATGTGCAGGGGGGGAAGCAGTTCCATTTTTAGCACTGACGGGAAGGGAATGTGCTCAGCTACCTTCTGCAGTAAAAAGACATCTTTTTATGGAACCTGCATGCACATCTGCTCCACTCTTTAAAAATGAAAGACATGACAGTTTAACTACAGGCCTGTTAGCTCATGGCTAAACTGAAGTCACAAACAACTTCCTAGGAGTAACTTCAAAGAATGTTTTGGATGGATGCTCACAAGAGCACATCGCTTCTTTTCCATGGATCCAAATACCCAAGAGAGCAGAGATTTTGGAATAATCACCCTGGAAATGCTGTCTGTCTCTGCCTTTTCCAGTTACCTCAGGAGTTTATCTTGGAGAGGGGAAACATTCTGTTCCTCCTGAGATTAGGATCATATTGTAAAGAAGCAGTTGTAGCAGCTACTACCACTGCAGAGCAGGAGCACACAGAAAGGAGCCAGGAGCCAGGGTCACTTTGTGGCTCTGATGATTTTTTGCCCTGTCCAGTTTCCCAACTCCCATTTGATGCAGCCAGTGTCTCCCAGCTGTGAGAAACTGCCCACACCCAGCTGTGCCAGGCAGAGGTGAGTGCTCAGGGTGTGTGTGTGCTCACTTACTGCGTGCTCCGTGTCCATGGCCTGGCTGTCCTGGCTGGGGCTCTGCTCCTCAGCCCCCTGCACCGGGAGGAACTGGCTGAGTTTGTGCACGCAGCTGCAGCAGCGCTCCCGCGCCTCCTCCCTGCAGCTGCCCCCGAACTGCACGCGGAACATGCGGCACTCGCTCTGCTCACAACCACAGGGAGAGCAAATCAGCCTGGAGCCGCCTCCAACGGCTCCCATTAAATCCGTGCTTGCTGGAGACGACAAGGAGGCAACAGATTTGTGGGTAACTGTGCCAATTTAAAAACAAACAAATATGGTTTCCTGCTGTATTTTCAGTTTTTCCCAGCAGCTTAACCAGAAGACTGTGATTGCTGATTTGAAAATCAGATAAAAATATGCAAGGAAAGGGTAAGTGATGCAAGGCCACCTGTCCCTAATTCAAGGTTTAGCCAAGTGGACAAGCATTGCCAGGACTCAGCTTTTACACATGGCAGGAAAATTGAGTGTTATTGTTGCTGCAGGTAGTGTCCTGTCCTGTAAGGGTGTGCCAGCTCTGCACAGTTGTTTGTGACAAAAAACTGACACAAGAGTAAGCAGAAGTTAACTCTGGATCTGGACTAGAAATTCTGGGAATGGCATAGACCAGTTAGGATTGATGGTTCCTGATGCAGCACAGTCAACCCTCCCTGGTCTGCCTGCTCCTGTGTGGAGCTAAACCAACACATTCACTTTGGCTCTCACCTAAATGTTCCTTGAACAGAAACCAGCACGTTGAATAGGAGTGCAGGAAATTAAAATGCATCACTTCAAAGAGGGAAATGATACTAAAAATTACTGAAAACTCCCAGATAGCTCTGACCCCCCAGAGTAGGTTGTTGGGCTGTACCATAATTGGTATTTTAAATAAGTGCCCCAGGTTCAGCAAAGTGCCCTGAAATGGGGATGGAATCTATGGTGTGTGATAAGCTTGGCCTAAGCACCTGGAGCTGACGTAAGGGAGGTGCATATTCAGGGTTTAGAGAGTGAATTAATGGAACTTTCTGTTTGATATTGAAATTTCAATTTAAAAAAAACAAACTTAAGCACTAGAAAAGCAGCAAATTCTCCTTGGCCCAGCCTGGCTTATTTAGGTCTTCATCTTCCTGAGGTTCCAGTGTCAGCCCCGTTTTCAATGCCCATTTAAATCCCACACTGCTGGAGCACGAGGACACCTCTCACTTTAAAGCTCCTGTCTCAGAGATGAGCCAGCTCTTGCTGACAGCCCCTGTGTTTACATGCCTGCTGCTTGAAGATGTTTGAATCCCAGAAAAAGATTTTTAGGGCAGGGTAAGCACAGAAGCCTGGCTCAGTGTTTTCTAAAGGGAAAAATGTCCAACTAATGTGAAGTGTGGTGCTCCTTGCCAGTGCCCAGCTGGATTTGCCCTCATTAATTAAGGAACTGGGGCAGCCTCCCAGAGCCAGGCACTGAGCTGTGCAGTGCCACACAGGTGAGTTCTGATTTCAGTGATTTCACAAAAAGAACTTGGCTGGAGTTTCCTTAGGACACTTTCAAAGAGCACCTGCTTGTTTAGGTCCCCAAATTAATTTTGGGGCTGAGCTATTTGGACTCCCTTGGGTTTCTCACCAGGACTGTTAAATACTTTAGTTTGCAGTTCATAAACAACAGTGGACTTGGAAAATTAAACACTGTTCCTTAGTGGAAAGGGATCTGTGATATGTCAAGGTTTACAGCATAAACTGAGCACTGGGCAGTCACACCTGAACCACACAAAGGCTCAAGTATTAAAGACCCCTGATGCCATGGAATCATTACATTTGTACCTCTTCCATGCTGGGCTGGGGGGCTGAGCTCAAGGAGAACAATAGGAAGGGAAATGATTTCTTGCAAAATTATTAAGAAGATTAATCTTGTTCCTGTTCATAGTTTTGAAACTCTTTGTGCTGACTAAGAGCCACAGTGTCCTACTGAAGTAATATTTGAAATGATGAGCAAGTTCCACTGTAAATGCAATATTAATGACTTAAAAAAACAAGGAGTACAAGATAAACCAGAAATTTATCATAAAGATGACCCCAGAAGCTGCATCCACTGTTAGGATATAAAGTAGAGAAACTGTGTGGTAAAACCACTGCAGTTGTAGCGGTGTGAATTTATGGTAAATAAACACTGAGATGCACCAAATTAATTTCAGGCTGTTAAAATTCTCCTTTCCTGAAGTGCCCCTCAGAGCTTTGCTGGAGCTGGCACTGAGTGGGATGTTGGTTTTGTCTTGCTGGTGAGGAGCAGCAGAATCCCTCGATGCTGCACTGGGGCACTGCTCTGGTAACTGGGAAGGAACAGCCTGCAGGTTCATCACAACTGATTCCTGCCCCAGCTGCCTTCAGCTTTGCCAGGTTTTCTAACAAGCTGATAAAAAGCAGAGTGCAGAGGTGTTTTGCTTTCAGGCATAACCCATGAATTTAAAACACTAAGATACTTACAGAGTATCAGAGTTCATCTAAGAACTAAAAACACTGAGATTTTTACTTAAATTGGTAAGAAGAAAGTGCTATTTGATTATTTAAAAGCAAATCAACCACTTTTCATCAGGAGAGCTGAGTGGCTGACCAGAAACCCACGTCCATTTTGTTTCCTTGAGTACCAAATACCTTCACCACCACCCTGCTGCTGTGCCAGGAGCCACAAAATGGCTCAGTTCTTGCTTGGATAGAGTTTGTTTGCTGAAGTGCAGCCTGACTCAGAGGAATCTTGGAAGAGATTTGCTTTATCTTTTTGTTAGCTGTGGCAGATAGAGTGGGAAATAAAACCAGTCTGGCTGTTTTAGCAGCTAACTCTCAGAGAGCAGTCTAAAAACTCAGCATAAAAACTGTCTAAGAGCTCAGTCTAAAAACTGAGTATTAGCAGTTACAAAAGATATCAATATTTAATCCATCCTTGTTTAGTATCTAGAGTAAAAAAAATATTCTAATTGACATAGATAATTTACACCTCCTAGTTTAATTTAGCTAAAAGGGAGAGATTTTCTTCATATGTGTGTTACATGCTAGGAATGTTGCAAGCAGCTCAGCTCACCTTGGCCTGTGCCTGGAGCAGCAGGCACTCTGCTCTCCTCACTATCTTCAGCCACTTGTGGGAATCGATCAGGGAAAAGCCTTCCTGAAATAAAGCACAAAGCAGTGGCCCAGCCAACAGCAGCACTCAGGAGCACATGTTTAAGTTGTGTGATGTAATTAAAGCCCTAATGAACATCAGTCACTGCAGCTATGCAGTTTTTGGAGCTGTCAAACAGCTGCAGTGTGGAAGTTTCACCACTCCAGGGATTAAATCCAGTAACAACGCTGTCGAAGTCTGTTGTGATTCCCATCCCTGTGTACATTTACATTTGTGCGTGCTATGGAAGCCCCTGAAAAGCAGAATAAAGCAGCTGCGAGTGCAGCTCTGAGCGCTGAAGTTGCCCGGGAGGGCAGCAGAGGGCAGGCGAGGCCGGGGAATGGCACAGCCCCGCTGTATCCCAGCGAGGCCTCGGCTCCAGGGGGCACTCAGGGAACCCAGCAGCAGCTTCCTTAATTGGATAAAGATGTTTTATACTCCACTTGCATCACTGGCAGTCTCTTCAAACTCGACAGACTGCTCAGCTCCTGTAAAAACACCTCAGGAAAGTGAAAAACAAGGCAACTGACTGTGTCCCCCAAGGCACTCTGAGCCATCACTGGAGAAAACCCCAACCAATTAATCAGTGTTAGGAAATCAGGCACCCATTCTATCCAAACTCATAATACTTTCAATGACCAAGGGCTCGAGCCCAGGCTGCTTTCAGGGGTCCTAAGGGCCAAGCCCCACAGGTCAGGTCCATCCTGAAGGGCCAGGGGTGTTTGCCACAGTCACCATCCATGGTAGGTGGGTCCAGGCTGCAAAACCATCTGCCATTCTATTTTGGAACAGGAATCACCTCAGTCAGTGACTGCTGCTTTCCTGGGCTGCCACTGGCTCTATAGTCTCATGCAGCAGCTGCATGCAGATCTCTAGCTGCACTTCCCAGAGGAATCTCTCAAAAACTGTGAAGAGTTGCAGCAAAGGCAGACTGGATGGCAGAAGCTGCTGTGACAGACTCCAGAATGGCAGCCAGCAGGGAAGCACCATTCCCAGAAGAGCTGGGCTCACAGGGAGAGCAGCACTGCCCTGTGTGCTGCAAACAGGGCCAGTCCCTTGTGGGGTGTCTGCACTGAACACACTCAGGGTGCCCTAAGGCAGGGTGTGCTAGGCAGGAAAGGCCCAAAGGTCACAACAACAGGGAGAGATCACCTGCTGAGCAATGGGGAGAGGCTGAACCAAGCCCCAGATGCTGTCAGTGGAGCAATGCCAAACCATTCCCTCACTAGGCCACTTTAACTTGTGGCCACTTGTGCTTGTTCTGTTCATTTCAAGTAGTTTCTGTTTTGGAGACACACCAACTGTTTATTTAAATATAGCTATTCCCATATTCAGTCTGGTTTCACAGTGTTTTTCCTTTCACTGGCGATGAAGGTTGAACAAATGTTGTCTCCTTAAAATAATAACTGTTTTCAAAGAAATTATAGAAGGCAGTCACTGTTTAATTTCCCTACCAACTATTTTATTGATGTTTCCCAGGTTCTTTTATGAGGTAAAACAAGTGAGAAAAACCAGCATTTGGAATTTTTATTTATGTACTCCTGATTACCCAAATTTGATTTAACTGAAATTTCAGTTTAACCACTTTCTTTTTAAAATCATTGTCCCTGTGTTCCCAGAATCACAGCCTGGTTTGGGTTGAGAAGCCCCTTAAAGCCCATCCAGTGGCACCCCCTGCCATGGGCAGGGACACCTGCCACTGTCCCAGGCTGCTCCGAGCCTGGCCTGGGGCACTCCAGGTGGAGTCAGGTGGATGAATCAGAGCAACAAAAGGGAAGAACACAAGGAATGTGCCCCTCGCCTCTCCAAGGCTGGAGGGTCTGTGCGTGGGGCAGGGCCTGGGAGCTGCAAGGCAGAAATTGGGGCTTGCAGCCCACTGAGCCTTCCCACAGGGGATGGACTGACCCTCGACACGCTCCGGGTGTGGGCGATGGCACAGAAAGCAGCAGCGCTCGTTCTGCATTGGTGCTGCCACCAGGCTGCCAGAGCAGGGAACGGAGCGGCCGGTGCCGGTTCCCCTGAGCCAGCCAGGCAGGGCAAAGCCAGAGGGCAGTGTCAGATTAACCAGAATATCCCCAAAACGCAGCCTGGAACGGGCCAGGGACACGAGAGCCCAAATGTTCACCATGTGAAGAGAGAAACGGCAGCACTTCATTCATTGGTCATCAGTGTTCAGTCAGGCACATCCCCTTTTGTATGTATTTGTATTTGTGACAAAAGTGGGGCAAAGGAAAATTCTTCCCTACATCTGTGACCAAAATCGAAGTTTCTCAGAGGGAGGACTGAGTGGAATTAAGCTGAAGGGGAAAACAAAGCAAGATGTTTCCCAAATGGTTTGGAAGCAGGCACGATGTGACCACAGCTGCCACGAGGCAAGAGCCAGAAATGCTGATCCAGCCTCACAGCCATGGAGTCCTGCACTGACTGGGAAATACTTTTGTTCTGACTTCACACTGCAGCATTCAGAAACCTGCTGTGTAATGAGGGCTGTGAGCTGTGCTGGAAGGTATTGTGTGTGATTTCTGAATATTTTTTATTGTAGCATTTAGAAACCCTGTGGTGCTAAACAACACAGGAATAGATTATCTAAGTTTTGTTAGACTGCAACCCTATCTGAACAGAAAATGACTCTGTAGCTAAGAAATGTTATTTGTGTAGCAGTTCAGCTATGCTGGCTTGCACCACTTCTTTGGACACACTCATGCACGAGCCAGATGTTCCCAAACAAACCTCTCTGTAAACAACAGCTTAGGAGGAAAAGCTTCTTCTTGCTCACAAACATGATCTAGTCTGTCCTTAAACCACAACCAGTATTAAAAAATCCAAACTAAACCCAGAATGGTCTAGAGAGACACATTCTGCAGGGTGGGCAGGCCCATGAAATGCAAATGCACCAGTTTGTTCTCCAGTTTCCCAGCTCAAAGGAATGCAGGGGTTGCACCCCTGTGCTGTGGATCCAGGACTCAGCTGGGAATGGGCACTTGCAGCTCCTGACCCCATTGCTTCCCTGCTCTCTAATTCACTTATTTAGTTTTGATTTAACTATTTTACTTGTCTCTAGGGATTTTTGAGGGATTTTTTTCTAGTTTTTTGTAGTTGGTTATCTCTGTTTCTTTAGGGAGGTCTCACAATGATAGGTGTTCTTCACACAGGATTGCTGCTTCATGGGTTTTGGGTTTTTTTTTTGGTTAAAGTTGGGATTAAATTGTAAAATGGTATTTTTGTTTACGTTTAGATGTTTATTAGTTTATGTTATAGTATTTTGTTTTAATTAGGTATAAAATGGTTATGTATTTTGAATAATTTTTTCCTAAAATAAGCAGTCTTCTATTTAAAAATTAAAAATTCTTCATTAATGACTGTAGGATAAAGTTGAGAAAATTAAACTCCTAACATAATTTCACTCCAGTCTTCATTACTGAACACCTGGAGGTAGAAATTTTTGTATCTATTTCCAATATCTAAGTAAGGCCAAATATATCAGGATTGATACATCAGCCATTTTACATTTTTTCCTAGAATAAGCTGTTTTCTATTTAAAAAATTAGAAAGTTTTCTATTTAAAAATTCTTCATTAATGACTGTAGAATAAAGTTGAGAAAATTAAACTTCTAACATAATTTCACTCCAGTCTTCATTACTCCCTTGTAACACACCTGGAAATGGAAATTTTTGTAGCTATTTCCAGTATCTAAGTAAGGCCAAATATATCAGGATGGATACATCAGCCATTTTACAGTTTTATCCTAAAATAAGCAGTTTTCTATATTTTAAAATTAAAAATTCTTCATTAATGACTGTAGAATAAAGTTGAGAAAATTAAACTTCTAATATAATTTCACTCCAGTCTTCATTACTGAACACCTGGAGGTAGAAATTTTTGTATTTATTTCCAATATCTCAGTAAGGCTAAATATATCAGGATTGATACATCAGTCATTTTACACTTTTTTCCTAGAATAAGTAGTTTCTATTTAAAAATTAAAAATTCTTCATTAATGACTGTAGAATAAAGTTGTGACAATTAAACTTCTAATATATTTTCACTCCAGTCTTCATTACTACCTTGTAACACAGCTGGAAATGGAAATTTTTGTATCTATTTCCAATATCTCAGTAAGGCCAAATATATCAGGATTGATACATCAGCCATTTTACAGTTTTATCCTAGAATAAGAAGTTTTCTATTTCAAAAATTAGAAAGTTTTCTTTTTAAAAATTCTTCATTAATGGCCATAGAATAAAGTTAAGAAAATTAAACTCCTAACATAATTTCACTCCAGTCTTCATTACTGAACGCCTGGAGGTAGAAATTTTTGTATCTATTTCCAATATCTCAGTAAGGCCAAATATAGCAAGCTTGATACATCAGTCATGTTACTAGAATAAGAAGTTTTCTATTAAAAAATTGGAAAGTTTTCTTTTTAAACATTCTTCATTAATGACTGTAGGATAAAGTTGTGACAATTAAACTTCTAACATAATTTCACTCCAGTCTTCATTACTGAACGCCTGGAAGTAGAAATTGTAACACACCTAGAAGTAAAGATTTTTGTATCTATTTCCAATATCTAAGTAAGGCCAAATACATCAGGCTTCAGCAGCATGAGCTGTCTTGAAAATTCAGATCAGCAGAGCCAACATGACCAAAAAAGCCCTAAAAATCCCCAGACAAGACAACCCATAGAGCAAGGGAAGCACAAAGTTGGCCCTGCAAACGTTTCCAACCCTCCCAAGCAAGGCAGAGAGACAGGAGTGAGGAATAAAAGGATGTTAAGCTTTGCATGGTCCTTTGTGGAGCCTCCATCTCCTAGAGCCTCCCCTCTTGCTCTGAGGCCTGCCTGGCTGGGGCAGAGAACACAAAAGGCTGAAGTCATGAAGCAGAGTGCTCTATGTGCACTGTGCAGCTAGTTTGTAAGCAAAGCTAAGTTAATAGAAGAAATAATAATTAATGATTTTTATGTGTATTTAGAGCAAAGAAAAAACCAGCATAAAAATAGATTTAA